ATGGCGCCAATTGTTGTGAGTGTGTTAACTCTCTCAGCCATCTCTGTCACTGAGTCGCTGAGTCTGTCCAGCAAGGGAGCAGCGGATGATGGTTGGCCAGAATTTTTCGATGACAATCGTGACTTGTGCGATTTGAAACGCGTTCATGGGCCGTCATGGTTCGCGGAAGCTGGATGCAGTGGGGAGTCATGCGCAGGCAAAATGCCAAGCACACCGATGATCTTAACTGGGCTTCTCGACGGCTGGCTTGCGATGAACATGACATGGGACTTCCAGAGTATGGCCGAGAGGTTTGGAAATATTTCCATTGAGTATTTCGATGAATGGCAGCAAGCTGGGGGGAACTTAAAGAATGCGCAGCCGCCAGAAAAATATATTACATCAGAGGGCTCGTTTGTCGTCAAAGACTTAATGGAAAAGTTCAAGAACGGAGCCAAGGGTCAGCATGAAGATTTCTGGTGCGGTGAAGTAGATGAAAATGGCAAAGACCGTCGCGGCATGGACCCCAACAACAGACCAAGCACCGATTGCAGGTTCAGTTTGTGCTGTCAAATGCGATTAGCAGGTTTGATCAACACACCACAGCAGCTAGAGGGCGACACGTTCTGGACTGGTCCGTCTTTCTCGATGAGCCCACAGGGTGGTGGGTTTGCTATGCACACGCACGCGGCCGCATGGCTTGGTCTCATCTCTGGGGAGAAGGCGTGGTTCGTAGAGGGTCCCGAGCAGGTCGGCCCCCACCAGCCTTGGTACAACACCGTGCTTCCCTTGGTGCTCCCCACGCGCGCCTGGGCTAAAGAAGTGGTTCGGCTTCCCAAAGGCCAACGGCCGCAATTCTGTATCCAGCGGCCTGGGGAAGTTTTTTACCTTCCAGACGCGTGGTGGCACGCCACGATCAACCATGGAGATTTCGCTCTGGGCTACGGCACGAAGCCTGCGTGGTTCAATGCAGACAGTCGCAACTTTCACGGGAAATACATGGCGGAATCTCCAGGTGATGTGATCGCCCAAAAGTCACGCAACAGCCAGCCAACTAATTTGCCCGAAATCTTGGTGGCAGGCAACCTGACCAAACTGACGAATTTCGAGAACCTCATTTTGGAGCGAGCATCTGCTGATGTAGAACGGGATCGCAAAACTGCTCTATTGGTTGGCGCCCGTCCTGTTGCAGGACCCAATGTTGGCACAGCTGCCGCAAGCTTGTGCATCATGGCAGAAAACATTCTTCACAGACGTGATCCGCAGCCCAACCAGCTGCAGGAGTTCGCATCGCATGTCTTGCAGGAGGCGCAGAGCTTGGATGCCGATAACGAAGTTTGCCGACTGATGCGGGACGCCCCGTAACCCACACGTTCCACAGCATCGAGCACCACCATTGGGGGTCTGGGTCAGGGGCCGCGGCCAGCGGGACGCCTTCCAAGACGGCCCTGTGGGTATGCACTCTCAGCCCTCCGAGGCTACTGCGTCGGCGTCACTGCCAGCTGCAGCTCATGCTCTTTGTATTGCTTCTTATAACTGGCATTCCAAGGAGTCTCATAAGGATCTCTAGGATGTTTCATTCCGTAGGAAGCCAGGGGCACAGCCTAGTCGATGCACTGCGCCTCGAATGGACTGCGACATGGAGGATGGTGGAGGAGAGCGAGAGAGATCGGGGAAACGTAAGACTCGAGTAAGCGGGAACTCGGGTTTGCCGACTTTTTTTGACGAGCGCGTCCTGGATTTTGACGGTCCAGTTGTCGTGGGATGTTTGCAGCGGGAGGTCGCGTCAAATTTAAAATCGGGTCTCGTCATTCTCATGATGGGCCCGTCAGGTCAACCCGAGCCCCCCGTGCCCGAGTCCTACGTCTCCACCAGGAGAGAGGCAGGCATCAGTGCATGCTGGGAGCGGCCTCGCGCCTGCCGCGGGGCATCCGCCCATCCATGCTCCCCGAGTCTCCCTGGGCGCGCGAAGGCACGAGTGGCCCGCGCTCTCTCGCTCCCGGGACAAAGATTCAGTCAGGCCTGTCCCTCTACAGGAGGAGTCATCAAGAATAGTAAAAACATAGTTTGGGGGCAATGTGTTGGACCATTTTTGAGTATTTGAGGGTATTCATTGGCTATTTTTAATTTCTCGTCCAAGATCCCCCTGTAAGGGGGACAGGCCCGACTTAAGACAAAGAGGGGCGCGAGGGATTGGGGCTTGCGGCTCCGGGGGGGCGTAAGAATACGCATGGTTGGCCTTTTCCTTTCTCCTGGGAGCCTCAACTCGGCAGGACCCTCACGCGATTCGTGCATCATGGTCGCTCCGCCCCGTCGGGAGCGAAAAGGCCAGAGGCGCCATCCGTAGCGCTTTCCCCTGGGGCCCTGAAGGACTTTGGCCTCTCGGGGGCCCTCTGGGGGCGCTCTGGGGCCGTTTGGGGCCGACCTGCAGGCTGGCTGGGCGTGTCCGACCGCGTCTGGCCCCGTCTTGCCTCATATCGGGGGTGGACAGAACCCCCAACAGTGACACGTCGATTAGTGAATTGTCCGTTTTCGGTTCTCGAGAGGGCGCCGCGGCCGTTATTTTCCAGGGTTGCGCCCGCCAGGTTTGGGCCTCAGGTCGTTTTCACTAAAGCACGTTTTACTAAAGGGAGGTCTGTCCATCCCCGATCATATCTGGGGCCGTCTTGGAGCCCGTGCCACGCTGGATGCTGCCAGGGGAGCTCCTCCCCTGGGGCCTGGACGCGCTGGGCCCGCGACGGGCGCTCCGGCGTCTACAGCGGCCTCGGATAGCCAACGCAGACGGCCGTAGGGCTTAGGCGACCCCTCCTCCTCCTCCTCCTCCTCCTCCTCCTCCTCCTCCTCCTCCTCTTCCTCCTCCTCCTCCTCCCCCTCAGCCAGAGATGGCCTCCAGTCTCGCGCACTGTGGCCCAAGATGGCTTCCGGGATGCCTCCCAAGAGGCCCCGAGACGGCTCCAGAATGGCCCCGAAGTCTCCCAAGCACACCCCCGAGATACCAATCAATTCGGAAGGCCTCGCGGCCAGTACCGCCGACCTTGAAGGGGGACGATGACCACGACGGCGGCGGCGGCGGCGCCGACGACGCTGACGTGGGGCAGATTCATCAGGGATGCTTCGTGGGGCCCCCGCAGACACCATATGACCACCCTGACACACCTGGGGGCGGGGGAGACATTCCCACGTTTCCAGATCTTTCGGACGCGGGGTGGCGTAATTCGGGGGGCCCTACAACCCCTGGCAGTTGCCTCCCATCAGCGCCACCCAAATCGTGCAGCAATGAATGACAGGGGTCCCGAGGGAAACGCGTCCTGGATCCCGATCGGCGGTGAGCCAAGGGGGGAATTGAGAGGGGGCAGGCCTTTTCAGAATGCGGCGCGGCTTCTCAGAAGCCCTCTGGCCTCTGAGAAGCCGCCTGCGCCTTCGGAGAAGGCTTTGAACTCTTCCCAGACGGCCGAGGGCCTCCTGATCCTTCTGAGAAGGCGTTGCTCCCCCTCGCTTCCCCTCTGGGCTCGCCGCCGACCCGAGGCGCTTCCCAGGACCAGCTCTTCACCCGGAGCCGTTGTCTGACGGCCCTGGAGCCCGTGGGACCCCGCGTGCCCGAAGCCGGCTCAGGACCGACCCTCTGGGAACGCTTGTTCCTGGGCCTTCCTCCTCCTCCTCCTCCTCCTCCTCCTCCTCCTCCTCCTCCTCCTCCTCCTCCTCCCTCCCCCTCCTCCTCCTCCTCCTCCCCCTCCAACCCCTCAATGTATCGCCCCCCCGTCCGCTCGCCTCACACAAAAAATATACGCAGACGCCTTCCAATAGATTGCTCCTGGGCCTCGGGGGAGGGTGGCGGTGTCTAGATCACCGCTGGGAGCCAGCGACTTTATACACCGCCGCCCTCCCTGAAGGTACGTGCAAAGTTCGTCGGAGGGTGTCTGTGCGGATACAGTCAACCCGCACAGTAAGGATGGGCAACCATCCCAAGGGTACCCTTGCATGCTTGCCTCCTCGGTCTGTCCTTGGCCACTTTCGCTGGCCGCGCCCCGCTCGAAAAGCTTCGGCGTGGGCGTCCAAGGCCCTCGCATCCTTATCGCGCATCCTCATGATACGGGCCGATTGTGTTCTCGTGGCGTATCCTTCCTGCTGGATTTCCGGGCCTCCCGGGGAGCCTCCAGACGAGAGCCGAGCACCCCTCGGAGCGCATCCGAGAGAGCCGCTCGAGCGCTGCCCGAGCCGCGCCCGGCCGGCGGCGCCCCGCGCGGCGGCGCGCGCCGAGCAGGAAGATCAAGACGGCCGACCTGGCTTTCGACGTCACCGCTGCGGTCGCAGGGCAAGGGGGAGGACCACGAGGAGGAGGAGGAGGAGGAGGAGGAGGAGGAGGAGGAGGAGGAGGACCAAGAGGAGGATGAGGAGGAAGAGGAAGGAGGGAGGCGGAAGGAGGAAGGAGGAAGAGGGATGAGGAAAGAGGAAGGAGGGAGGAGGTGAGGAGGGGGAGGAGGAAGGAGGAGGAGGGAGGAGGAAGGAGGAAGGAGGGAGGAGGGAGGAGGGAGGAGGGAGGAGGGAGGAGGAAGGAGGGAGGAGAGAGGAGGGAGGAGGGAGGAGGGAGGAGGAGGATGAGCGAGCCACAGAGGAAGCGGTGCCGCCACATCCGCGCGCCCGAGAGCCCACGCGCGCGCACGCGCGACACGCGCGGTCGGGCGCCGCGGCGGCCCGTCCGATGGGCAAGGCCCCCGACCGTGCGGGGTCCTGAGGGGACAGGACCGCCGACCACGGGGGCCCTGAGAGGACAGGGCCCCCGACCGCGAGGCCGACCACGACGACCTTCACCACGCCGACCGTGGGGTAGCCGACGGCGAAGGCGGTCTTACCCATGCCGCTGACGCCGAGGCCGACCTCCCTCACCGCCACCGCCGGTGCACTCGCCCGCCTCGCCGAGGAGGGCGTCCAGCCGCTCGGCTGGCGGAGCTCCACGACGTCGCGCGGGAGGTTCTCCCGCACACAGGGCAGGCCGAAGCGCTTCATCAGGCGGAAGACGTCCTGGCGGAGCCCGTCCAGCTCTGTGCCGCTGTTCTTGTTTTTGCCGGCACCTCCCTTGCCCGAGTCCTTGCCCTTGCTACCGCCACGGCCTGTGCCGCCCGCCAAGCGCCCGCGCCGTAGCACCGGCAGGTCGTCCGCCCACTCGTCGGACAGCAGCGGGTCAGGAGACGCGACGGGCACCATCGCCACGCTCCCCTCCGCCCCGACGTCGGCCATCTGCTCGTCCGAGTTGGCGTCCTCCGCGCGCTCGCCATGGCCCGCCGCGGCGCCACGCCCGCGAGGACGCCGCCGCCGCCGAGGGGCAGCAGCGGGTGCCTCCTGCGCCTGCGCGGCCGAGGGGGGCTCGGGCGGCGCTGCGAGGGCCGCCGGCGCGGCTCGCAGCAGGCCCTCGGCGGCCCGCGCCAGGCGCTGTGCCTCGCGGTTGCCGCCCGATAGCCCAGCCGCAGCGTGCGTCGCGAGGACCGCGCCGCGCACGGCCTCGCGCGACGCCTTCGCGCGGCGGGCATCCGTCTCCACGGTACCTGGCATCGGTCGACGGCGGGAGCGCGGCGCGCGGACACCCAGCGGCGGCGGCTTGAGCCAAGATGGTACTGATGGAGGGGGAGGAGAAGAAGAAGGAGGAGGAGGAGAAGGAGGAGGAGAAGGGGGGGGAGGAGGAGGAGGAGGAGGATTAGGAGAGGAGGAGTGAGGAGGAAGAGGATGAGGAGGAGGAGGAGGATAGAGTGAAGGCGGGGAGGAGGGAGGAGGGGCGGGGAGGGAAAGGAGGAAGGAGTGAGGGAGGGAGATGAGGGAGGAGGGAGTGATGGAGGGAGGGAGGAAGGAGGAGAGGAGGAGGAGGGAGGAGGTTAGCTAGATGAGGAGGAGGACTTGGCGGCCGAATAGTCTTGGGCTCGCCTCGCCGTTCCGGGGCGGGGTGGGGGGGGGTGCTGTGTGTCGGGGGTGTCCTTCCCCGGTGGCAAATGTACAGGCTACCGCTGACGGAACGGCCGTAATCCATGGAGTAGGGATCTGTGGATCTGGCGCGCGAGCGCCAGATTTATGTCGGGCCTGTCCTCGGCAACACCCCAACATACTTATACTATATGTGCGTCGCCCCCCCAGGGGCGACGCGCGCACCGAGAAATCTTATAGTATATGCGTCGTGGCGTGCGCTTTCTGGCCACACCGCTCGGGAAACGATATACTACAAGATGGGTATACTATATGTTCGGGTCGGACGCGCGCCACCAAGGAGGACATATAGTACTAGTATGTCCATGTGCGTCCCATGTCCCTCTACAGGAGGTAGATTCAAACATAGTCATAAAATTATGTTTGGGACGATTCGCTTGCATGTTTCAAGTATA